AGTCCTATGAAAGTGCTCTGTAATAATAGAATTCAGCACTAGTAATTTTAAAAGTATAGAATTGTTGAATATTTAGTAATGAATCATTTGCTATCATGGTGATCTTCCTGTCAGGTTACAACATATTATTTTTACACCACTATATATTTGTTGGTCTTGATTTCCATACATTCAGATCAGATTGTTGAGGGTTTATTCCGATGTGGAAGTCCTGGCAGTGTTGGTCATATTTATCAACTGTATTAGTAATGGAGGAGACCCACTAGAATCTACTCTTCACTGGTTCATGTTAGAATATTAAGATAGGCTACTTTCTTGCTCTGTTTCACAAAGCAAGGATCTGTGCATTGTGCAAGCTAAAGGATGAGAGGAATCACAATCTAAGAAGGCACTTAGTGGAATAGAAGTATAGTAGTAATGCACTGTTTCTGTAGACTGCCAACTGCAATGCAAATCTAGTAGGTTCTGCAAAATTGAAAGCTTTTCTGGAAATTCTGTGATTCCTTTAGTATTCTGTGGCAACCACATTGTGCGCTCTTGATATATATAATGCTGACCTTCGGTTTGTCTTCATTTCTTACATGAATGTTAATTGTAAGCATGCAGGAAGACTTACAGTCGATTGGCTTTGCAGGTAGGAGGTGCACACAAAAACTGGCAAGATTATTCTGGACAGTTATGTGAGAAACTACATCTCTCACGTTCTGGAAGATGCCATGGCAAAGTCAACCACTTTGAGAATTACAAAGTATGTTGCTTGCGTTGACCAAGCTATTCCAATTCATACTAAATTTGCTCTAGGGTGTCCCAGTTCTACGCCTGTCTTTGTGCTCTGGATTGCTGTATTACCGGTACGCTCCCTTAAACAGACAAATAGACAGTAGCTTGTGAAAAGGGAGACGAAGCATTTCTAATCTATCTCTGAGGAGAAGAGGAAAAAGAGCAATTAAAGGGTTAACTTCAGTGTTACGTAAAGTTACATGGAGAAGAAAAGGAACATGTAGATGATTGGGTTTATTACTTCCCTCAAAATTATTATTTTTGTCTCAGAGATCTGATTTCACATTGAAGTGATGAAACAATTGCCTTGTATTAGACAACAGCACTGCAACAGTAGGCTGTGAGCTAAGGCAAATGGATTTCATTAATCAAGCCACGTGTGCTCAGATTCAGAACTGCATGTCTTCTGACATCTGTTTATATCTTCTCATAATTTTCATTGTGCTTCCTTACTTTTCCCTTATCACAACTTGTTTTAACATAGCTAACAATTTTTTTGGTGTATTATCCCGAACATCTTGTTCTGATTGTGAAGAGGCACCCATGCCCTGTGCCGACCACGTGCCGAGGGACTGCTGCTGCCTAATGTAGTCACAAGGTGTAGAAACAGCTCAGTGCTTGGCAGGAACAGAAAAGTATGCTGGAGGAATTTGCTTCCCAGCATGAAGAAATTCTTTTGACTATTTTGATCTTGCATGAGACTTGTGAAATACTGAAGTCCCGTCAGGTTCTGAAGTGATTATAATTTGCTCCTGACTTTTGATATTTTTTATTTTTTGGACAGCATTGCTCCATGCAAAAGATAGCTGAACAATTCCATGTTTCAGTGGATACACTCCAAACGTACCATTTTCTCACTCTCTTCCTTCTTGCTGGAATCTGCAATGGATAGATTTACTGCAGATTTCAAACCTGTCAACACCCAAATGTGTGACACCAGCTCTCAATACATGTGAAAGAGCTAAGCTGAGGGACACGATAATATGTAGCAGGGGAAGAAGATAGCAGTTCTGCAGAATACATTTTGTGCAGTACAGAAAACTTTCCTATGAACTCCATTTTGAAGTTGAGCAACTCTGTTATCAGCCTGCAGTTATCAAGGAGTTAGAAAACAGTAGGACAGGAGTTTGGACTTCATGACTCTCCCTTGTACTAGAATGTTAGAGCAATCTGTCTGTGCTTATACTGCGGAGAGTTTTATGAGCTGCTTAAATCAGAAAACTGAAAGTTATTTAAAATATGCATAACTCCCAACTTCAAATTAAGGAAGTCCATGTTTTGAACATGCCCACTGTCGTTATAGAGCAACCCCACCCAGCAGCCTGACTGAATCCATATAGCTGCAACTGAACCGGAAAGTGCAGCTGTGTATACACTCGGACTTTCCTTTGCAGCTGGCCAGTTACGTGGGAACTTGCCTGGAGTCATGACGCAGATCTACTCTGCCGCTCCAGCCCCGCTGTTGTGCACCCTCGCTGCGCTGTTCGAAATGTCTCTGTCAGTGGACCATGTACCGATGCTGCTTTGGTCAACTCAGAGGTAAGGAACCTAATAAAAGAGTATCTCTACTTATGCTACTGTTCTGTGCGTGCGTGCAGAATATATTGTATATCATCAGTTGTGGTAAATAACCTCTGGGCATAAAAAATTACCCAATAAATAAATTTGCCTCTCAGCAGTCAAACACCCTAACAGATTAATTTACCCATTTTTATTTATAATTTTAGTGTTCTAAGCTGGGCAGTAAGAAGTAAATAAAACCCATATTCTTCAAATCTGAAGCAGATATGCTTTATTCACCCTAAGGCAACCTTGAACTCCACTGTTAGAGATGTCGTGACTTAAAGGCACAACATAAGGCAATCTCACAAAAAGGAGCTGACCGAAAACTCTGTGGGCAACCTTAATCCTTGCATTTCCTAACTCCTGAATGCTGATTTTTCAATTTAACATTCTTTTTAATGCAGGTTTTTTAGTAGAATATACTGCTGTATGTATAGACATCAGTTGTTAGAAACAGTCAACAGACAGCAACAGTCTTGACAGATCCAGAGAGACACGTTCATTCAAGGGTTTGCATACGCTTATGAAATAAGACTTTGAACCTGTCTTGAAAGAGCCAGATATACACCTTTTTTTTCCAGCCAGGAATTTTATTCATGCAGACTTTAAGGATTTTATGTAAATACTTGGGTTTTCCAGAAATAGAGCAGCTTGGGCAATGCAGTAGCTTCAGATGGAGTGCTGGATATGTAAAGGTGTCAGAGGACTATGCGCCGCTTATTCACGAGGCTGTCTCTGCAGGGCATACACATTGGTTTTGTCTAGGAAGTACTGCCCCAAAATACAGTAAGCTGATGCCAGAGATTTGTAAGAAAAGGCTCCTGAGGGGCTTATGGGATCACATAGGCTAAAGGCAAAGGGCTAAAGGCAAAGTCCTTTTCTGAGTGGGAAGGTGACAACAGATCTGCTGTACTCTAGGTTTGCCTAAGGTGTGCTTTGACCTGAGTAAACCACTTGACTCTCTCCTTCTAATTCCTAAATCCTCCACATTCTTAACCTGGTTTATCCAAATTGTAAACCCTCTCATAGGGATTTCATATCATACCCTTTGCAAACACATATCTATTATATATACCTAGTTCAACAGGCCTGATCACAGCTGGGTATTTATTAATTTATCTGATACAAATAATCCATAACACCGACAGTATTTGGAATTTGTCATAATCCGGCTGTATGACTTCATAAGAATAAATTCCTTTCCTGTGCCACGAATAGCCTTGCTGCACAGGTTAACCCTCACTTTTGCTGTGAGGATGAAGAGAAGGGCCTGCAGTGATGGGGATTCCAGCTGGGTGCCTTTGCTGACATGACCAAGCTGTGTGTGCCTGGGCAGGGGGAGTTTTGCTTCTGAACTCCTTTGGTCATCAACTCTTGTCAGGTCTGAATTCATGAGATTTGATTCTTTGGTATCTTTATTGCTTTGTTAGTTCCTAGAGCTTTCCTTGTGACTTCTGTAAACTGGGAAAGTAACCAAACCAAAGTCTTCTGGGGAGGTAATTATCCTTTCAGCTAGTTGCGCTGGATTCACTCTGCCTTTCATGAGGCTTTGAGCCATTCTTCAACTCATTTGAGACACTGTGAATTATCTAGCTGCCACTAGGAAGAGAATTAGACTAAATTCTGCTCTCATTTATTCTAGTGCAAATCTGTGTTTAGGCAAGTAAGATTTAAGTCTGAGAGCTAAATCTTGTTAATGTTTTTTTTTCTTTTCTTTTTGAGTTGCTTCTTAATGTGGTAATTTTAAGACATCAATAGGAGGATTCAGAAATTTTATGAACGTCAGGAACTAGATTGGTTCAGTATTTCAGGAGATCTTTCTCCATGTATAGTGCTATATAGACAAGCATGCTACTTTTCTGGTTTTTCATATGTGATGCTGTAATGTTGAGGGCCACAGAAAACAGATGTGTAGGAGGTGTTGATTGTGCTTGTTTCATATGTATCCTGGACATAGCATCCTTTTCCTTGCAGTAGTTAATACCAGCTTTGACATGTCTACCCATCTCTTAAGCATTTCCAGAAACGGAAGCTCTGGTCCCTGTGGAGCCACAACATATATGAATCTGCAAAATCTGATAGAGTTTGATTAGGTAATTTTGACTTCCCCCTCCCATCCCAAAAGAAATAAATGGATGTCTCAACATCAAGGCTTTTTTATATTAAAAATACTTAATTATCTTAAAATGTTAAGGGAAACATTGCATCCATCTTTAAAAAAAGTAGCAAGGAGAACTTTGGGAACTACCAACCTGCCAGCCTCACCTCTGTTAGGAAGATCATGGAGCAGATCCTCCCAGAAGACAGATGAAGGGCAGGGAGGTGACTGGAGACAGCCATCATGGCTTCACCAAGGGCAAGTCCTGCCTGACCAACATAGTGGCCTTCTAGGATAGAGTGACCACATCAGTGGACGAGGGAAGAGCTACTCATGTTGTCTAGCTGGACTTCTGTAAGGCTTTTGACACAGTCCCCCACAATATCCTTCTCTCTAAATTGGAGAGACATGGGTTTGATGGATGGACTGTTGGGTGGATGAGAAATTGGTTGGATGGTCACATCCAGAGGGAGGTGGTCAATGACTCAATGCCCAGATGGAGACTGGTGATGAGTGGTGTCCCTCAGGGGTCTGTACTGGGACCAATACTCTTGAATATCTCCATCAATGACATAGTAGGATCGAGTGCATCCTCAGCAAGTTTGCAGATGACACCAAGCTGCGTGGTGCAGTTGACACACCTGAGGGATGGGATGCCATCCAGAGGGACCTGGACAAGCTCAAGAGGTGGGCCCATGTGAATCTTCTGAGGTTCAGCAAGGCCAAGTGCAGGGTCCTGCACCTGGCTTGGGGCAACCCCCAGTATCAGGACAGACTGGGGGATGAAGGGATGGAGAGCAGCCCTGCTAAGAAGGACTTGGGGGTTCTGGTGGATGAAAAGCCAGCAATGTGTGCTCATAGCCCAGAAGGCCAACCACTTCCTGGGCTGCATCCAAAGGATCGTGGCCAGCAGGTCGAGGGAGGTGTTTCTGCCCCTTTGCTCCACTCTGGTGAGACCCCACCTGGAGTTCTGGAACCCTCAGCACAGGAAAGACATGGACCTGTTGGACGGGGTACAGAGGAGGGCCACAAAAACGATCAGAGGCATGGAACACCTCCCTTGTGAGGACAGGCTGAGAGAAGTGGGGTTGTTCAGCCTGGAGAAGAGGAGGCTCCAGGGAGACCTTGTTGCAGCCTTCCAGTACTTAAAGGGGGCTTCTAAGAAAGGTGGGGACAGACTTTTTAGCAGGGCCTGTTGCTATAGGACAAGGCGTAATGTTTTAAACTAAAAGAGGGTAGATTCAGACTAGGTATAAGGAAGAACTTTTTCACAGTGTGCATTGTGAAACACTGGCACAGGTTGCCCAGAGAGGTGGTAGATGCCCCATCCCTGGAAACATTCCAGGTCAGGCTGGACGGGGCTCTGAGCAACCTGCTCGAGTTGAAGATGTCCCTGCTCATTGCAGGGGGATTGGACCAGATGACCATTAAAGGTGTCTTCCAACCCAAACTATTCTATGATTCTATGATTCTAATCTGTTCACCTCTATACAACACAGGCACATGTATGAATACGAAACCTCTGTATTTAAAAACAAGGTAAATGTTGGAAAGAATTGTTCTTAGGATAAAAGCGATCCTAAGAATCTAAGCAAAGATCAGTGCTCCTTTGTCCTACTTCCTAGTTTATAGAAACAACAGACCTGTTGTCAATATAAGTAAAATCTTATCAGTTAATTCAGTGTGGTCATAACAGTAAACTTTCCACCAAGATGCAATTAGCAACTTGTTCTACTGCTGATTGTTCAGGCTTATACAAATCTAGAGCAGGAAAAACAGGATAGTGGGCTGATTAAACCAGTTTCATGTTTCCAGGAATAGAACATTTTCTGGAAGAAGTGTTCCTCCTACCATGACCTTTGCATTTTTGAAAGGAGAAGTTCTTGTGGGGCAGAGAAGACTGGTGAACGTCAGTGAAGCAACAGAAAAGGAGATTTATGTTATTTTCTAAAATAAAGGAACAGTAACAGTAACACTTGCTTGCCAGCCCTTTGCCAGCCCTGCCAGCCCCTAAAGCCCATGCTTTACATCTTGGTACTTTGCAGTGATGCAAGGTTTGCAGTATGTGATCTACAGGCTTATGAAGTCTGGAAACTACAATTATAAGTTTTAGGAAGGGTAACTAAAGAAGTGCAGGAATAACAAATGAATTTTCATTCACTGTGTGGAAACATGTTCCACCAGTTTAATACTTCAGTGATTCACTGATCAACAGAAGCTGAGATTCATGGATATATTCCATCACCCTCTCCCAGGTTATCTGTTAGGATATGATATTGAATAGCTGAAGGATAATACATTTTGCTCTTCTTTAGAACTAGCCAGTGTTTGTAAAGCCATATCTCAGAACAGCTATATTAGAACACTTTAAAGTATCTCTTTCATGCATTATTATTGTTGTGTAATCATGCTATTAAAGATAACATTGGATGTCAGATACAGGTGAAACCTGCAACTGAAAAACACATGCAGTGTGCAAAGCGTAAAGGAAGTATGATATAAATCCTTACAGGGACATTAGTAAATCAAATACCTCTTTCCTCTAGAAAGAAAAATGCAGATCTGTACTTTGAGAAGAATAAGTATTTTCTACCAAACAACAGTCTGTCTCTGTTGAACTCAGGAAAAATATGAAGTGGGAATCACTCAGTAGGTCACAGTGTCCTGCTTTTCAGAAATTAATAGTAATATATCAGTGGACATTCTCCAGATAACTTTAGCCTGAAAAAATTAACCTTTATCTTAAATCAGCCTTTAAACTAATATCTCCTGGTTGCTTTTCAAAAGTAGAGATGGAAAGGTTCGCTTTGCATATGATTCACAGAAGAAACATGATTTATCCACTTTGAACCAATATTCAGAAGAACGTCTTTCCCTCCATAGATTAGAGAGGGAGCCCAAGGAAATAAATTCATTAAAATTAGCTTTTGTGATTGCCCCCTCATGTGTTTGTTTTAGGAATTATTTTTGCCTACAGACATTGAAAATATATTACTACCTTCATTTATGCTATGCTTATACTGGGAAATGAATCCTTTTCTGGCAAATACAGATTACAAGTGACTTTGAGAAGGCATTTCTGCCAAATAGTATATTTGCAGTATTTCTTAAAACTGCAAGGAATTTGCTGAAAGATCTTCTGGAAGTGGAATAAAAAAAGCATATACACTGGAAAGAGAAAATTGTTTTAACTGTAACTTTATTGGACTTCTATGGAGATACCATGTACTAGCATAATATGCTTGAGTAGCTTTTTGAATTTTTTTCCTATAATCATGAATTTTCATTCTATTACTGCTACTAGTAATGGTGACGTGAGCTTTGTGTGTAAAAGTGGTATTTGAAGGTCATTTCCAATTTTTTTTTTAATTATCTTGTTTACTTCTGCTGTGCAGGAGAAAATATTATTTCTTACATGGTAATCATGAGGTGGCTGAAAGAGAAAATACAAGAATAACTTGTAGGAAAGAGTTCAGAAGCCAGCTACAAAGCAAGAATGTAAGCTCACAAGTTAGGGTGACAGAAGTCCTGTTATCTTACTGTCTGCCCTTCTGGGAGTCTTCACTTCCATCAAAACTACTGGCTCAAATCTCAGTTCTACCTAGAAAGAGCACTGGTCAGAGAAAAATCTGTATGCTTAAATTTGTTGTCATGCCAGAGCATTAGGGACAAGAAAGAAGCAAAATACCAAGCTAAGCTTTCTTTCCTCTCTTTCTTTAGTGCATTTTCTGGCTATTGGAGGAAATAGAGCAGTTGAGTTTTACATTTCCTCCTCTTTAGCCAGCGGGAAAGCGCATACATTAGCAGAGATGCTCGTCATTACGAGCCCCCTCGGCTGAGGACCCCAGGAGGGTTCTATGGTGGGGAGGTTAAGTCTGATGTGCTTGGCATGCAGATGACTGCACAAGGCTGTGCATCTTTGGACATAAAATTTTGTGTGAGCAATCAATAGTAGCAATCAATACGTGTGTTGGCCCACTGCCTGTTTTCTTCTATGCCATCCCGTACTGATTTCTCGCTGCCTGCTTGAGGTGAAGAGTTCAAAGGGATGGACCGGTTCATTGCATTCAGTAAAGCATACCTTCGTCTCACCCACGATGTACTGTCTGTGGCAGCCACGTATCTCCATTTCACCCTGCAGTTCACAGTAAACCAGCTAGTAAAACATACTGACATTGCCCTTCTGAACCGTGGTGAGGATATTGTTGCTCCCAGCTGACAGTAGCAGCCCGTTCAATGCAGGGTGTAGCCTTGCCTACTGCCATGTGTAGTCCACAGCAAGCTGTTTAAAAGAAGCAAAAAAAAAAGTGTGTATGATATGATGAATATAAGTACTAGCCAAATGCTGCATTATAATAGAATTATTAACCAACTCATGTAGATTTATTTTTCTAATGATGATGCTGGAGTTATTGAAGTTGACTGCTTGGAAGCTAGAGAGTCTCACAAAAGGTGCTTTTCAAGGTTAAATAGCTAGCAAGAGCTGGTTCAAGGAACAGGGAATACCTTAGAAGCAAGTTTGCTTTAAAACAGGATCATTAAATTTCTGAGGTTTTGAGTTCATGACAAAAGCCTTTGCCATTGTGCTGCTGTAAATAACTTAGTTTTGTTTCATGTGCTTTCTGTTACCTTTTATTCTTAATTGCTAGTCTCAAAAACTCTCAGAATCTTCATTTTTTTCTAATATTAGGCATGGAATAGATTTATCTAGTTAGTTTTTAAAATAAATATACCAACATATTCACTATAATTTTCTTTCACACAAGCCATTTTTTAACATCTCTTAATTTAATCTATCTTCTTTTCCTTTAATATCATTAGTATTTTGGTATGGCCATGCAAGGCATAATGTCAGTATGAAAGTCAGGTCCTGAATGTCATTCAGAATTTTGGGGAGTTTTTGTTTTTTCAAATATCTTATTTTTAAATATTATACTTAAATATTTGAGATTGTGAGGTTTGATTTTTCTGAAAAGTTGTTACAATTGTTGTTGTTACAATTGTTACAATCTCTGTTACAATTTCTAAGTTGTTTGGCTTCATAAATGTAAATTAATAGGGATTTCCAAACACAAATTGACAACGAAGTGACGATGCTGAGCAAAACTAAGAAAATATCAAATGATAATTTTTACCAAATGGGGAAAAATTCTTTTCTGCACAACAGGGTTTACTTCTAAAGCTTGAAAAGTGGCAGACACAAGATGTAGTAGAATTTAATTTTAACATCTGCAGCATGTTATCCTGAAAGAGTCTTCCACATATACTATTTGCTCTAACACTGTCCCAAACCCCAAACCCGGAAGAGATCTAGGTACCCGGCACTGCAGGACTGCACTGTTTTTATCTTTGCCATGGGCGCAGTTGGAGGCTTTCGATTCACTCTTGGCAATCTTCATGGGAAGTACTGGGAAGTCTTGAAGTGAAATATAGATTCACCTTACCTGAGAAACAACATTGAACCCCCCCTATGTGTTTATTACCCATCTTAAGAGACTGCAGAGCTTGTTTTCGTTCATAAAAGCTGGCTGTGGAAGGGTCATTTTCGAATTGCTTTTGGGTTAGAAAATTTAATAAACTTCTCAACTTCACCAAATTGCAATCATATAATAGCTGATGCTACAGCACGCAGCAATTCTCTATATTTTATTCTTTGTAATGAGAACCATTTAAGGGGTCTGGAATACTTGATTTCTCAGGCCTTAGCAACTGATCTGTGTTTGGGGGAGGTGGGAGATTAAGTTTCAAGCTCTGGGTTTTCTACAGAAAACACACAATATTACCTTAGTCAAGATGCCTAGGACCAAAATTTTCATAATAAATGTCATCCCTATTGGCTTTGCATACTGTTAAAATCCCAATTATTGAAAGAATAATGCCACCTCTAGTTTTGCCCATAACTGTTTTTTGTAGTAGTAAAACTAAACAGATGAGTTATTTCTCTGTCCGTTCCTCATAATGACAGGTTGGCAAAAGAATCGTAAGCTTTCCTTGGTGTTTTGAGCCGTTCTGTTCAGAAGAGCTCCTGCACCTGGAAAGGTGGCTTTTCTGAGCTGCTTCTGCAGAGTGGTTCCTTCATCATGAAAATCTTTGGAGATAACACACTGTTTACAATAACACTGAAAAGCCACTTAAACTTAACAAAAATTTTGTGAAGATGTATTGTTTTATGACAATTTGTGGTCTGGCCTGAGTTCTCCTTGCTGGCCATCAAGATGTCTGACAGCAGTTTTGGGAGTTGGGATTCCCTTTGGGAATTCTCTCTGAAGGTTTTTCAAGAAATTCTTTTTATTCCACTTAGTAGCTAATTTTTTGAAATTTTTTGAAAGATGCAACTGTGCTGTTGTACAGAAACAAGAAAGAAGTGGAGAGAGACAGTTATCTTATTGGACCAGTACCATTCCT